TCCTCATGATGATTTTATTGATCCTCATGAGGATTTTATTGATCCTCATGAGGATTTTATTGATCCTCATGAGGATTTTATTGATCCTCCATGATGACTTTATATACCTTCACGATGACTTTATTGACCTGATCAGCCACCATGGTGATCTGCAAGCACCGACTGACCATCACGTTGGTTTTGCGATATGAGTGTTGGATCACTGATGAGCTCACTGGACGTTTATGAAGCGCTGGGGAGGTATTTTCCTCATGGTCAAAGCTGGCCTCATGCATATAAAACTGGGATTTATAGATCGTAAAGACACAGCGGCTTTGACCTCTGTCAAGCACGCACACACACACTCACACACACACACACTCATCCTTACACAAATAGGATCCATACGTAGCTTTAAGAAGAGATACGACAAAGCTCATAGAACAGGGAGAGAGTGCACCTAGCAGCGGCTAGCGGGGCCAGGAGCTGTGAATCGACCCCTGCGATAACTAATAGGTGAGTACACACACACAAACACACACACACACACACACACACACACACACACACACACACACACACACACACACACACACACACACAGCAACGAGTCATGGTACGTGAAGAGGTATCACAGGGGGCGCCTGCGACGAGCGGGGTCCCACAGGGGTCAGTTCTAGGGCCAGTGCTATTTTTGATATATGCGAACGATATGATGGAAGGAATAGACTCTGAAGTGTCCCTATTTGCAGATGATGTGAAGTTGATGAGAAGAATTAAATCGGATGAGGATGAGGCAGGACTGCAAAGAGACCTGGAAAGGTCCAGAAACTGGCTTCTCGAATTCAATCCTGCCAAATGCAAAGTCATGAAGATTGGGGAGGGGCAAAGAAGACCGCAGACAGTGTATAGGCTAGGTGGACAAAGACTACAGACCTCACTCAGGGAGAAAGACCTCGGGGTGACCATAACACCGAGCACGTCACCGGAGGCACACATCAACCAAATAACTGCTGCAGCATACGGGCGCCTGGCAAACCTGAGAATAGCGTTCCGATACCTTAATAAGGAATCGTTAAAGACACTGTACACTGTGTATGTTAGGCCCATACTGGAGTATGCAGCACCAGTCTGGATCCCACACCTGGTCAAGCACGTCAAGAAGTTAGAGAAAGTACAAAGGTTTGCAACAAGGCTAGTCCCAGAGCTCAGGGGAATGTCGTACGAGGAAAGGTTGAGGGAAATCGAACTGACGACACTGGAGGACAGAAGGGTCAGGGAAACATGATAACGACATACAAGATACTGCGGGGAATAGACAAGGTGGACAGAGATAGGATGTTCCAGAGAGGGGACACAGGAACAAGGGGTCACAACTGGAAGCTTAAGACTCAGACGAGTCACAGGGACGTTAGGAAGTATTTCTTCAGTCATAGAGTCGTCAGGAAGTGGAATAGCCTAGCAAGTGAAGTAGTGGAGGCAGAAACCATACATAGTTTTAAGAAGAGGTATGATAAAGCTCAGGAAGCAGAGAGAGGACCTAGTAGCAATCAGTGAAGAGGCGGGGCCAGGAGCTGAGTCTCGACCCCTGCAACCACAATTAGGTGAGTACACACACACACACACACACACACACACACACACACACACACACACACACACACACACACACACACACACATACACACACACATACACACACACACGAACGCACATACACACAAAACACGCTCAAACACAGCTTGCAATATTGTTTAGGGAGAGAAAGCAGGGGCAAGAGGGAGAAAGCAGGGGCAGGAGGAAGAAAGCAGGGGCAAGAGGGAGAAAGCAGGGGTATGAGGGAGAAAGCAGGGGCATGAAGGAGAAAGCAGGGGCATGAGGGAGAAAGCAGGGGCATGCGGGAGAAAGCAGGAGCATGAAGGAGAAAACAGGGGCATGAGGGAGAAAGCAGGGGCAAGTGGGAGAAAGCAGGGGCGGGAGGAAGAAAGCAGGGGAAGGAGGGGGAAAGCAGGGGCAGAAGGGAGAAAGCAAGGGTTGGAGGGAGAAAGGGGCAGAAGGAAAGCAGGGGCAGGAAGGAAAAAACAGAGGCAGGAGGGAAAAAGCAGGGGCAAGAGGGCGAAAGCAGGGGCAAGAGAGAGAAAGCAAGGGCAGGAGAGAGAAAGCAGGGGCAAGAGGGAGAAAGAGGGGCAAGAGAGAGAAGCAGGGGCAAGAGGGAGAAAGCAAGGGCAAGAGGGAGAAAGCAGGGGCAAGAGGGAGAAAGCAGGGGCAAGAGGGAGAAAGCAGGGGTATGAGGGAGAAAGCAGGGGCATAGAAGGAGAAAGCAGGGGCATGAGGGAGAAAGCAGGGCATGCAGGAGAAAGCAGGAGCATGAAGGAGAAAACAGGGGCATGAGGAGAGAAAGCAGGGGCAAGTAGGAGAAAGCAAGGGCACTAGGAAGAAAGCAGGGGCAGGAGGGGAAAGCAGGGGCGAAGGGAGGAAAGCAAGGGTTGGAGGGAGGAAAGGGGCAGAAGGAAAGCAGGGGCAGGAAGGAAAAAACAGAGCAGGAGGGAAAAAGCAGGGACAAGAGGGAGAAAGCAGGGGCAAGAGAGAGAAAGCAAGGGCAGGAGAGAGAAAGCAGGGGCAAGAGGGAGAAAGCAGGGGCAAGAGAAAGAAAGCAAGGGCAAGAGGGAGAAAGCAAGGGCAAGAGGAGAGAAGGCAGGGCAAGAGGGAGAAAGCAAGGGCAAGAGGGAGAAAGCAGGGGCAAGAGGGAGAAAGCAGGGGCAAGAGAGGAAAGCAAGGGCAAGAGGGAAAAAGCAGGGGCAAGGGAGAAAGCAGGAGCAAGACGGAGAAAGCAAGGGCAAGAGAGAGAAAGCAGGGCAGGAGGGAGAAGAGGGGCAGGGATGGGTAAGGGAGAGGAAACGGACAGGAATGGGTAGGGGAGATAAAGCAGGGGCAGGAGAGAGAGAGAAAGCAAGGGCAAGAATGGATAGGGAAGAGAAAGCAGGGGCAAGAGAGAGAAAGCAGGGGCAAGACGGAGAAAGCAAGGGCAAGATAGAGAAAGCAGGGGCAGGAGGGAGAAAGCAGGGGCAGGGATGGGTAAGGGAGAGGAAACAGGGGCAGGAATGGGTAGGGGAGATAAAGCATGGGCAGGAGAAAGAGTGAGAAAGCAAGGGCAAGAATGGATAGGGAAGAGAAAGCAGGGGCAGGAGGGAGAAAGCAGGAGCAGGAATAAGAATTCCCTGAGGTACCCAGCAGGGAGGCTGCTGGTCAGTGATGCCAGACACTCATCCTACACCCACACTCCTAGCACTCTCTATCATCAAACCATCTCTCCTTACCTTATCAAAATTCCTTATATAACGCATATAATAATAAGTGAAACTCAGTCTATATAAAGTTCAATACTTAATAAATTTATACCGTTAGTGGTAGTATTAAAAGGTTTTGGGGGAACAGTAAAATGGAGAGAATTATTCTGAGAGGTTGTAGTGATGTGGTACCACCACTCGGTCAATGCACTACTGCTACTCCCATATTAGTCAACATGTAAGAGAAAGCAACACCCTATACTTTTCTAGCTACAGTAGACGCTGCTTAGAACATCGTTCTATCAGAAGCTTAGCTATGCCAAGGACCCCAATGGAAATAATTTACTTTGTCTGACTTTATTTGGTTATCCTAGGTAATTTACACATGCGTTTCTATGTTAGATAATTTGTGTAACTGTATATATGTGTACCTATATATAAATAAACTTACTTTCTTACTTCCTCATGCTACAGGGTGAGTTGAAAGTCTCTATACGTAAGTAAAATAGTTACGGTCGTATGCAGTCACTTGTCAGTTGCAAAATATGCTCTATGTGTGCACCATTAACACCTATGTACAGAGACTTTGGACCCACACACTCTGTTGGGATCTAATAGTGGAGATGCCGCCCAGCAGGTGGACAGCGTAGAAATGTCCTCTTAAACGCCAAATGGATGTGAATGTTAGGTAGGGTGTAGAGTGCTTTCTTTTTTCTATGACTAGGGCACATGATAGCCTGAGGGAGGGGTGAGCGCTGGAGCAGTGGACGACTCTGGCAAACATGCTTTCTACTACACGGTGTCCCAGAAGTTTGGAACCATGAAGGGAAACGAAAAAGAACGACAGTAATAAAGGATTTTATTCCTAGGTGTTCAATGAGCCCATTATTATTGTTAACACAAATGCAGACGAGATATCCAGTGATTATCGACGGCATTATATACCGACAAATACGTCAATGGGACTATATGCGGTTTTGCGACTCACACGCCATGGATTCAAACCCAACCCGTTTCGTAGTTTGTTTACAATCGTGTTATTATGATTTCGTGAGTCATATGCGGTTTACGACATTTTATTAAGAAGACGTTTCATCAGCCAGGGAAGAAACCTGGTGGATGAAACGTTTTCTCAATAAAATCCAGTCAACAAATACCTGGTGAATAGCATGAGGACTTACGGAGTTACATGCGTTGATGATACGCTGTACAGATGACTCCACACATATCAGACACTCTGGTACATACCACTGGAATAACATTTGTTCTCAGTGTTGACATTGGCAGAACCAAAGGAAAACCCTTCCTTCCTGCTCTGACTTACCCTGGGCGATGTAAACACTGAACTGATGGGTGTTGAAAGCTGACCATAAGTAGAGGTCAGCTCTTGTTCTGTATTTCCTGGTACTTTACCCCACAGCCTCCTGGTCCACACACCTGACCCACCTCCCTGCCCACCATACCCGCCACATTGATACCCACCACTCACGGTACTATGCCTCTTAAAACCGTCCACTAAACTTAATTCTTATCCACAACTATTTTACTAATAACTAACAAGTGTCCCAGTACATGTCTGAGCACCGGGTTTTATAATGTCATTAAAGTAGGTATTGAACAACTACAAAAGGGAAGTTATAAAGGTGATTCATGCAAAATATTGTGGTAACAGTGGTGGGCACTGGCAGAGGAAGGAGGCAGCATGAGAGAGTTAGGTTCAGTGTGCCTCCAGCACTCCAGCGAGTGACGTGGGGTTGTGTCGCCTCGTTCTGTGACTCTCTTCTATGGACACGGATCCATATATTCGTACTTCAATAATGAACAGAAAAAAGAAAATATATGGTTGTTTGTGCATCAATAACTAGTGCAAACCTGTAAGAGCAAGACACCAAGTGTGATTTATATACTAAAAAATGTGGACTATTATCTAAAACCAGGATTTTACCCCCACATCATTAATTTGACAGCAGTAAGTAATGCTCTCGATTTCTCCTCGTTGCTTAAAAATTATAGCTTTGAAAATATTGATGTAACAATTTGTTCAGAATCTGAGAGTTAATCATCTCTGGCAGTACTTATCATACTGGGTCATCTGTAACAGCAGTTCACAGGGTACAGTCTACCAATCTGGCTCTGCCTTAAATATGAAATTTCTTAGACTAACCTAACTCTCAGGTGAGGACCCACGAGGCTGACTGCCAAGTGTACATATTAACATTGTCGACTTTTGGTGTTAGAAGAATTGTTGGTCTTAATTTTTTGTTATATATATATATATATATATATATATATATATATATATATATATATATATATATATATTTTATATATAATATATATATATATATATATATATATATTATAATATATAGATAGATAGATAGATTAAAGAGTCTTCCCTATCATTTTTTTCTTGAAACACTGGTATAATTTGCACCTTTCATTTGTCTACAAATTTAAACTCTCGTAGCCAAATTCTAAAAATTATAAAATAATATTTCTGTACATTCCTTTATTCATAAATACATCCTGTAAAGTCCTATTGCTTTTTTCTTTTCTTCTCAATATTCGTAAATTATATCTTCACTTTCAGTTTTAGTTATTTATATATCCTTTATTTCAGCCGTTTCTTTGAGGTTTAAATCTCTTATTTCAAAAAAAAAAAAAATCTTTTGTAAACACTTGAAACTTAATGTTTAAAACATCAAATTTTTCCTTCTCAACGTCACTGTTTTTTTTTATTCTTTTTATTTCGCCTTTACCATTTTATATACTTGTTTTTTGCAAACTTTAATAAGAGATTTTCCTTTACTTTACTCTGAGCCGCTAATTTTTTTTTTCAAGGTTCTTTTTTTTTTACTTCCTCTTGCATTTTCACATTCATTTCTTCCCTGTTTGTTCCCATGTGTACTCACCTAATTGTGGTTGCAAGGGTCGATTCCTAGCTCTTGGCCCCGCCTCTTCACTGGTCGCCACTAGGTCACTCCCTGCTCCGTGAGGTTTATCATACCTGTACTCACCTAGTTGAGGTTGCGGGGGTCGAGTCCGAGCTCCTGGCCCCTGTGTGTGTGTGTGTGTGTGTGTGTGTGTGTGTGTGTGTGTGAGTGTGTGTGTGTGAGTGTGTGTGTGTGCTTTCTCCCAAGTGATCACACTAAGTTCTGGTAAGGTCATGAGTTGGAAATTTTTCCTACAGTTGAGAAAGATACAACTATCCCACCTCTCTCTCTCTCTCTCTCTCTCTCTCTCTCTCTCTCTCTCTCTCTCTCTCTCTCTCTCTCTCTCTCTCTCTCTCTCGCAGGTGTGTGTCATGCTTCCCTCTAAGTTCGTCTTCAACATTTTGGAACGTATGCTTATTAATTACAGTCTCCTGTAGTATAATGTCTTCGTCCGACCCATTGTTTACATGCTGGCAACAAATATTGTGGTCCCAGCTGTCCGTTAGCTGCCCCGTGTAGTAACTCCTTAGGGATACCTAGATTATACCTAGAGAGGGTTTCGGGAGTCAACGCCCCAGCGGCCCGGTCTGTGACCAGGCCTCAATTATATGACTGTGCATAAGACTTCAGCTGCTTCTTTCATTACCCATGATAATACAGTCAATAAGTAGCCTTGACTGATGAGTGAGATTCATATTTAACAGTTATCTCCACCGTTGAAATATTTCTACTGCGCAACAGGTTTTTTCAGTCGAACACAGGCGATTATAACACTGGAGACGGAAGAAGTGGGGAGGTAATTTTGAGGTGATCAATCCCTCTGTCTTGATAGACTGGTGGTCAGTCCCCTAAAGCAGCGTTTGTTCTTCCTTTCATTTGTGGATGTTCATATATTTTACTGATTTAGTATAGCTTCCCAATTCTCTTAGGTTAGGTTAGGTTCGTCAGGAAACAGGACAAGTGTTTCCTGACGCGGGTCTTGTTCAGATGATGACCCGCCTTTGGAGCTTTTGGTCATCTGACCGAGGCCTTCCGCTGGCTTACAGTGCCCTTCTTATAGAAGACCGTGAATTACTTGTTCTATACAGCTGCTCTCCTTCTTATAGAGTACGAAGTTCTTTTAATTCAATATAACTTATATATCTGTTAATTAATTGTAGGATCATCGTCTCAGATCAGGCCTACTAAATTTCAAAATAAATATTACAAGAATAAAAACTAGTAAGAAACGCACAGGAAAATAAAGATTATAAAGGTAAGATATAGTGAATGTAAGTGCCTAATAATTAGGTGTTCTTATGTTCTTATTGATTGGGTAGCATTTATTCTGTTAGTGGGTTGGATTTGTGAAGAACCTGCCTAGTATGGGCCAACAGGTCTATTGCAGTGTTTCTCCTTTCTTATGTTCTTAAAGTAATCCTTTAAGAGTGCAAAATATTTAACAGCCTTCCATTTTACATGGTTATATGAGAGAAATACAGTTACTCGCTAAATGGTTATTGTCTACTAAGCTGTTGCCAGAGTACAAAACATTTAACAGGTTACCTTTTCACACTCATATGCTAGAACTTTCAGTAGTAGGTAGGGTTAGAATTTCCATTCTGCATGTCGCCTTCATTCTTCACTCTCCTGCAGTCTTTTTATACATCCTATCGTTATTCCTGTTCTGTATGCCTTCCACAATACATTGCACTTTACCTGGGTGTGGGGTATGCAGGTGTGGGCGGGCAGGTGTGGGCGGGCAGGTGTGGAAGCCGGGCGCTGGACTGCTGACCCATTTAACGGCAGTGATCATTCTACTCCCATCCTACTTCCCCCTCCCTCCCCACCACCATCACCACCACAACAACATCCCCTCCTCCTCCACCACTACCAGCTTACTGTAGTTGGGGTAATGTCTGTGTTATTCAATAACTGTGGGATGAATACTGTGATCAGACTCCGTCTCCATAGGATATCTAAGGCACGAGATAGTCGTTTCTCTGGCACTGCCAGTGTCCAGAGCATACTATGAAAGGTCTATATAGAGTCGAGTGGGATTCAGAGTCACGTTAGAAATTCTCCAAAATACCACCTTTCATTACTGGTGTTCTGTGATTAATTTAAGAGTTTTAGAGATGTTCAACTAATCTGCCATTGTTCAACAAATTTTTCACTGTTCAACAAATCTTTTTAGAGCGATCTTTTCCATCAACTTTCACACAGGTCGGATCAAGGTACAGGTGTCAGAGAATTTATTAAGATAGTTGCCACAGCAGGACTAAGACACATGTGTCACAGGCATGGCTAAGACACGTATCAAAGGCAGGACTAAGACATGTGTTACAGGCAAGACTAGGACACAGGTGCCAAGCAGGAGTAAGACACAGGTGACATTGGAAAGATCATCACTGGTTAGATAAAGCCATATGCGCAACTGGGAAGGTGCAATACACAGATGATGAATTAGACACATGTGCAACATCTGGGTATCTCTATTTCGAAGACCTTTTCCCCCCATCCAGTGACTTCATCTGTAGAAAACAGGTGTTCATCACCTGCTCCTAAAGGGACTGATTACCTCCTCATTTATCTGTTTATTCATCATTCATACAGCCACCGGATATCGAAACGTCTACATAATAAAGATACCCAGATGTTACACGTGTTTAATTCATCATCTTGTCGGTGTTGTATACCACTGATAGAGTAAAGCACAGGTGTTATATGTAGCTTCAAGACACAGGTGCCATACAAAGGATTAGGACGCATGTGACACGGGTACAAGTGACACGTGTGACAGAAGGAGGATGGAAGAGGAGGGAGACGTGAGCCGTGACATCAGAGGACATATCCCCAGGAAGTTCGTGGATGTGAAATTATCCGGTGTGTAAGTGTGACGGGGTCTCAGCGCCTCTCCGTGACTGTGAGAAACACTGCCGTGACGGTGACGGTGGAGGACACTTCCCCGCACTACTGTCTGAGAACTGGGGAAGAAAAGCTGATGAAGTGTGTGGCGGATCATGGAAAAGTATGCGGTGTGAGAGTAGATTTTAGATCAGGGAAAAAATTATGAAGGAAGATGTATTTAGAGCCTTGGAAACGAATGTGTCAACATATGTGTCAGTACATGTGTCAGCACATGTGTCAGTATGCGTCAGCACATGTGTCAGCATGTGTCAACACACGTGTCAGTATGTGTCAGCATGTGTCAACACATGTCAGCATATGTGTCAGCATGTCAGCACTTGTGTTAGCTTGTGTCAACACATGTGTCAGCACATGTGACAGCACATGTGTCAGCATATGTGTCAACACATATTTCAGCACATGTGTCAGCATGCCTCAGCACATGTGTCAGCATGTGCCAACACATGTGTCAGCACATGTGTCAGCATGTCAACACGTGTCAGCACATGTGACAGCACGTGTCAGCATATGTGTTAGCACATGTGTCAGCATATGTGTCAACACACGTGTCAGCATATGTGTCAGCACATGTGTCTGTAATCTGTCGACTACCGCCCAGAGCATGGGTACAGAGGGAGTATTAAAACCATTGAAGTAACTTAAGAGACAGCCTCCCTTGACTGTCTTTACCTGAAGTGTTTCATTCACAGATAATCGTTGAATCTTGAACTGAAACATTACACTTTGAGAAGTTGTATGGGACAAGTTTTAGCAGGTGGTATGTTTCCTCTGTGTTAAAGTCAGCAGGTGGTATGTTTCCTTTATGTGAAGATCGGCAGGTGATTATGTTTCTCCTATATTAAGGTCAGCAGGTGGTATGTTTCTCCTTTGATAAGATCAGTGCCTCGATTCCATGATCTGAGAGCGTTCACGGTTTCTCTCCTACCTCGTTGTTAGACGGCTGATTGATGTGTTAGTTGGTTTGTTGGTTAGCTCCTTGGTTGTTTGGTTGGTGTGTTGGTTGGTTACTTAATGGAATGTAAACCCTATCGACTACACAAGGGTCATTAAGGCTGCATGTTCCTTGTACTCTGACAATCAAGAATACTTTTATCCCCAACATTGGGATGGAATATCCCCAACACTGGGATTGAAGTTAACTCTCAGTGTGTATACACTGAGAGAGACATACATCTCTCAGTGTGGATATCCTGTTCAGCTAGGTTACTGTAACCTAGCTTAACATAAAATAAAGAATACCGCATTTGTCAATCAACAGGAATCACCGAGAAACTAAATTGGCAACCATGTAAGGAGGTAAACATTGAAATTTAACAGATTAAGCTAAGTTTTACTTACCCAATAGTATTCAATCACCGACCATTTTCTTTACAGAACCCCCAGACTGGGTACAGTCCTGTTAGACTTCTGTAGGAGGCACTGTTGAACACTTCTGTACACACTAACCTCGTAGTGTCAGTCCACAACAGTCAAGTCCTTGATCAGAGGCTGGGCCGCAACGGATGGAGGATTGAACCTGGCCCAAGGCCGGGCTCTGGGACTAGAAAAACTCTCGAAACTCATCAAAGGCATACCACTCCTCATCGCTGAATGACCCTTACGGGTTCATCGCTTCACGAAACATAATCTACAGTCTGCAACAGTGGAGAATACAACTACAACTCACGTTTCAAGAGTTTTAAAAAAGTGCACTGGAACCACAGTTTGAAAAAAACAACAGAACTGCTTAAAGTGAAAAATAATCATTGAATTTAAATTTTCCAAATTTAGAATTAAAAAAGACTGTGTGAAAGTTGAGAGAGGAGACAGGCGTAAACAGGGTGTTGCAGAGTGCGACAGGGTGCGACAGGGTGTATTAACCCTGGCTGGCACCCCTCCAGTGACCCTTCCCCAGCCGCCACAGGCACCCTCGGGCACCCATCAACCCGCTACAGCAAGGTATGTCTCACGTTTTGTATTGTCTTGGCTCTTGATCCAGTGAGTTAGAGCTACTCTTCCCCTTCCTACGATCAAACCTGATTATGCGTCGTGCCTCAGGAGCTGTAGTACCTCAATAGATGAGTAGGATGGGTATATAAGAATGTCAAACTTTCATATGAAAATAATTATAATAATATATATAATAATAATAATAATATAATTAATATAATAATAATATAATTAATATAATGTTTCATTAAGTATATCAAGTCTTATATGAGTCATACATCACTAGCTGGCTACTACCTACTTTATTATTTTATTATTAATATTATTATTATTATTATTATTACTATTATTGTAATAATTATTCATTATTATATTATTATTATATTTAATTATTATGTTATTTATTTATTATTATATTATTTATTTATTATTATTATTATTTATTATTATATTATTATTATTATTATTATTATTATTATTATTCAATATTATTATTAATCTTGACCGTAAATTACCACCCCAACTACTCTCCCTCCCCCACCCCCTCCAACACCCACCCCTCCCCAACCCCCCAACCCCCTCCCCAACCCCCTCCCCAACCCCCTCCCCAACCCCTCCCCAACCCCTCCCCCCCCCTCCCCCCCCCCTCCCCTACCCCTCCACCTCCCCCTCCCCCCCCCCTCCCCCACCCCCTCCCCACCCACCTCCCCCACAGCCTACTTTCACCCCAGTGTTGATCTCTGCAGTGAATGTTTTCCTACAAGATGTTGGTCAAATTTTCATTGTGAATGATGCAAGATATCGTGGGTGACGTAAGATATCGTGGGTGACGTAAGATATCGTGGGTGACGTAAGATATCGTGGGTGACGTAAGATATCGTGGGCGATGCAAGATATCGTGGGCGACGCAAGATGTTGTGGGTGACGCACGATATCGTGGGCGACGCAATATATCGTGGGTGACGCAAGATATCGTGGGTGACCAGTATGTCGTACTCTCGTGTGGGCAAAATATTCGTGGGCGCAGAAGAATGATGTGGGTTGTACCAATGATCATCGTTCCCACATGCTTCAATATGTAGCGCACACGCAAGTGTAGTTTAACTGCACGATATATTATGGACCAAAGCGATTGATGCCCTGTGTGCACTGGCAAGATGTCGGAACGTTACGCCCATCTATCTCTTCACAGCTCATCGTTGAATGGAGGAAAAGTGGGATGAGACGCAAGAAAGTAATCGCATATGAAAGATATAGTTCGCTCGCAAGTGTACTGCCAGATGTGTGTGCTCCAACACGCATCCAACTAGTGTATCGACAGGCGAGTTGTGCGTAGACTAAATAACAGCTTCTTCATAGCTGTAACTTTAGTTTGTGGTAACAATAGAGACTTAGTTTACGGAACTAAGACTGTGTAGCACTTGGCAAGCTTTATTGTCGATACGTTACGATTCTCATC